AATCAATGGGAAATTAATGGGAATCCATGGGAAATCCATGGGAAATTAATGGGAATCCATGGGAAATTAATGGGAATCCATGGGAAATCCATGGGAAATTAATGGGAATCCATGGGAAATTAATGGGAATCCATGGAAATACTTGGAAATTCATGGAAAATTAATGGAAATCCAAGGGAATCCTTGGAAATTCATGGGAAATTAATGGGTATCCATGGGAAATCCATGGGAAATTAATGGGAATCCATGGGAATCCATGAGAATCCATGGGAAAATCCATGGGAATCCATGGGAAATTAATGGGAATCCATGGAAATCAATGGGAATCCATGGGAAATCAATGGGAATCCATGAAAAATAATTGGAATACATGGGAAATTAATTGGAATCCACGATAAATCCATGGGAATCCATGGGAATCCATTGGAATCCACGGGAAATCCACGGGAATCCCCGGAATTCCGTGGGAGATCCCGATCCGCAGTGGGAGCTCGGAGCAGAACCAACGAGAGGCAGAACAAAACCCCTCAGGAGGCGGCTCGGGGCCATCCCGGCGCCGGGGATTTGGGGAATTTTGGGAATTCTGGGAATTTTGGGAATGCTGCTGGAGCCTGTCCCTGTGCTGTGCTCTCCTCCCCGGGCAGACATCGTGGGCACGCTGCGGCCCGACGAGAAAGCCATCATGACCTACGTGTCCTGCTTCTACCACGCCTTCTCCGGGGCCCAGAAGGTGAGCCCGGCCCCGGGGATCCGCCTGGCAGCGGGATCTGATCGGGATCTGATCGGGATCCGCCTGGCAGCGGGATCTGATCGGGATCTGATCGGGATCTGCCCGCGATCTGATCGGGATCTGCCCGGGATCCGCCTGGCAGCGGGATCTGATCGGGATCTGATCGCGATCTGGCCGGGATCCGCCTGGCAGCGGGATCTGATCAGGATCTGATTGGGATCTGGCCAGGATCTGCCTGGGAGCAGGATCTGGCCGGGATCTGGCCGGGATCTGCCTGGGAGCAGGATCTGATCAGGATCTGATCGGGATCTGCCCGCGATCTGATCGCGATCTGATCGGGATCTGCCCGGGATCCGCCTGGCAGCGGGATCTGATCGGGATCTGGCCAGGATCCGCCTGGCAGCGGGATCTGATCAGGATCTGATCGGGATCTGGCCGGGATCCGCCTGGCAGCGGGATCTGATCGGGATTTGATCGGGATCTGCCTGGGATCTGGCCAGGATCTGGCAGCGGGATCTGCCTGGGATCTGCCCGGGATCTGCCCAGGAGCGAGATCTGGCCAGGATCTGCCTGGGATCTGGCCGGGATCTGGCCAGGATCTGCCTGGGATTGATCTGGGACTGGCCTGGGATCCGCCTGGGAGTGGGGATCTGCTGGGGATCTGCTCGGGATCTACCTGGGATCTGCCTGGGAGTGGGGATCTGCTCGGGATCTACCTGGGATCTGCCTGGCTGCTGCTCTGCTTGGCTTGGGATGGGAATTGGGGTCTGGCTCTGCTCCTCGGGATCTTTCCTGGATCCCTTTCCTCCTTCCTTTCTTTATTCCCTGATCTTTTTCCTTTTATTATCTT